TTTTTTTTTTTTTTTTTTTTTTTTTTTTTTTTTTTTTTTTTTTTGCACAGGGATTAACTTGAAACCTTGCGCTTGCAAGGCAGGCAGCAGCACCACCGAGTTAAATCCCTGGCCCTTCTGTGATTTTCTTTAAAAGCAACCACGACTTTATACAAGGAGGACCCTTTCCATCTCAGTGTCACTCTTTATGCTGATCAAATGGGGCTGAAAGTCTGAAACAAACTAAGAGACTGGAACTTGAGCGTGGTGGCCACCAGGGCCTGCTGCTGTACCCTGTGGCCTCCGTGTGGAGGACAGGATGCTGAGGCCTCCGGCTCGAGAGCCACATGTTAGGGTCTCAGGCCCGGCCACCCAGCTCTCTCCACTGCTCTGATGCCTCTTGGACAGCGCATCAGCCCTTCCAGAGGGCACCACTCTGCCCAGCGTCTGTGGTGGCAGAATGCTGTCCCTGGGGACCCTGACCAGCACAGGGAAGGTCAGATGCACCTGGCACCTGGAGGCACGGTGGGAACGCAGGCTGACCAGCTGCTGGGGGCCAGGAGGGACCCGCAGCTGCATAGGGGGACGCAGCCGCGGGTGTCCACACAAAGGGCTCCTGGCTTCCACGCAGCGAAAGAGGCAGCTCGGGGCTGAGGCTGGGGCGGCCAGGCCCCGTGGAGACTAGCCTGCCTGAGTCCATCACAACTGCACAGCCCTCTTCTCGCTGGGGCGGAACACCCCGTGTTCAGAACAGGATCTCTGAAAAGCAACGTGGCCCCACTTCCTCTGTTCCTCTCAGACCCGCTCCTGGCCACATGCTCTGTGGTGTGTGGAGGGGCCCCGCGTGGCATCTGCACCCTACCTAGGTCCTCCTCTGCAGGCCCGGGGAAGCTGAGGCCCGACTGGGCCAGGTCTCCGCCTTCTTCCTCTGCAAAGACAGAAACAAAGTAACACTTTACTGTGGCTCTGGCAAGGCTTGGGTCCCTCGTGAACACCTCCCACTGTTCACCACTCTGCTGCAAGACACCAACCAGCCACGCCATCCACAGCGTACTGCAGAGGCATGATGTCTCTACACCCAGGGACACACGTGGACATGGTGGCATCTCCACGCACACTGCATGCCCACAGTGTGCCCTCCTCTCACCACCCACAGCTGCCTGTGGGCTCTGGGTACAGGCTTCTGGCGTGGCTGCTGACTCCCCCAGGTGGCTCTGGGCTCCAGGGACCCTTCTTGTGCCTGAGATGGTTAAATGTGTTATTAAAATGTTTACTCAGCGTACGTGAGCCCCACCCCATTTCCGTGTGGTCAGCAGCACATCCTGCAGGTTTCGGGCTGCGTTTTCTGTAATGAGCGGGGAGAGCAGGAAGCTACAGACTCGTGAGCCCCACCCCATTTCCGTGTGGTCAGCAGCACATCCTGCAGGTTTCGGGCTGCGTTTTCATTTGGCCTGTTTTCATTTGTTCCCAGACGTCATGGGCAGTGCTCATGAAAAACTGTTTCCATGGAGACCATTGTCACCTAGTGTCTTTTGAAGACAGATGCACGGCAGTTGGGTTAGGACGAATTTGTAGGATGAGCCAAAACAACACGCCCCATCAAAGTTTAAACACATAGACAGAGAGACACAGACGTGGAGACACACGGACAAGTGCAAGCCCGTACAGAGTGGGTGTGCGATGTGTGCTGCTGTCCCATGCTGCACTGACAGGAGCCAGTGCTTTATGGTCAGCACCAAGAGCAGAGCACAGGATCACACAGGGAGGGTGACAGAGCTGCACAATGCACAGAGTGGGGCTGGCCCGATGGCCCTGCAGGGCAGCAGCAGGAGCACACTTGGTCACGCCAAGGATACTCCCCAGGGATGAGGTGGGCCTTCTACGCCCCTCACTTTGTCCTTCTGCACCATCAGGCCGAGAGAGCACGGGGTCCAGGACATCCCTACCTTGGGCCAAACTTCAACAGGGGCAACACAGGCTGCCTGGGTGAGTCCCAGGCCATGTCCGAGTATGGTGCTGTGCTGGGGTAACCTGTGGCTCCTGTCCTCACCAGTCCAAACAGGCTTTGTATCTGCAGACCCTGTGGCCAGCCCCTACCTACCCGGAGCTCAGAATCTCGTCCAGGCTGTGTTCTGCCCTGGTGCAGACCACTCTCCGGCCAGGATCCTGGCCTCCTGCATGGTGACCATCGTGAGGCACAGGGGCCGAAGACAGCCACCAATGTCATGATACCAGGGACCCAGAGCTGCCCTGCCCGGGCTTAAGGAGGCCACAGGCTCCACCCAGGCTGCAGGTCCCTCTTCTGCCAGTGCTCGTGCGCAGAGAAGCTATTTGCTGCCCCCTGAATGAGAAGAAAAGTGGCTGCAGGATCAGAGGGGCTGACGGCTGGCGCAGATGAGAGCAGCTCCGTGAGTCGGCAGCTCAGGCTCTGGGACATCCAGAGTGCACCGCCTCCCTCGGCTCTCCAATCTCACATCCTGCGGGGAGGCTGGCAGCGCGTTTAAGATTAATCAGCGATGTAAAATTAATAGCGTCTGAATCCGACAGCCTGCGCAGATTTCCATCACATTTTCTTAGTAAAAATAGAAAAGTGCCTCAGACTAAAAAATTTTGGAAATCATCCACTCACACATCTGAATGCATCTAATGAGTTTTAGGCCTCACCAGAGAAACAGTCTTTTACAGCCCTGATTCTTGATGGAATTTTCCCTACTTCAGATTGCTCACTTACAATAGTTTCTGGCTGAATTCACTTTATGACTTATTTTTTTACACTGGCACTTAACGACAGCTGCACCCCACAGTGTGACCCCAGTACCCCACCATCCACTTTGGGTGGAGAGGAGAGGCTGCTTTGCAGTTAGTTCTGTGTCACGGCGCCTCTTCCGAACCCCCTAATTCTGAGTGTGCCGAGCGGCTTGCGCTGGGGGATGCGGGCCCGAGTTGAAGCACCTGCTCCCAACCAAGAACCCTGTGCAGGCTGTGCTTGCAATACAGCGGCAACCACCAGCCAGGTCACAGCAGTGCATCCTGCACACCCACAGTGGCAGGGGCCAGGGCAGGCCGGATGTGCTCATGAAGGCTGGTAAGACGCAGGTGACATACCCACTGCCCGGGAACACAAGGGGCTTCCCAGGCTGTAACTAACCCACAACTGTAGATCCAGTCTGCACTGGATTCTGTTACAGGACACTCCAGACAGCAGCAGCCTGAGTCACAATCTGTCAAAAGAGGGAACAGCACAAATGATTCCGAGAGCTGATCGACAGGTAGGCCACATGACCCCCAGCAGAGATTCAAGACAGAAAGAGACATTCATGAAAGGTGACAAAAGCTTTGCTCTCTCTGTGGAGATGAATCTCATCTGCAGGTGCATCAGGGAGGATGCTGCAGGTGGACAATGTGGTCTCTATGGAGGACGGTCCACCCTCAGGTGCATCAGGGAGGATGGTCGCAGGGTGACACTGTGCTCTTCTCAGGGTGGCAGTGCCATCTCCAGGGTGTATGTCAGATTTTGGTTTGGTTGAGTCTGTGACCCTCCTTGAGTGGTGCTCCCCTGGTGGCTGCACTGTTTCCTGCCTGGCTGCAACTGGGCTGACCCCATGCTCTCATAGCTCTGAATTGGCCTGCAGTGAGTTGAGGCCTTTTGTGCAGTGTTCGCTCGCTGCTCAACACCTGCCATGCATGGATTTGGTTAGCACTCAAGCCGTGACCTGTGTTCATGACTGACCTCTTGGTGTGAGGCACCGGCCACACCTCACATCATCACCAGCAGAGCAGCTCATGACCCCCAGTGTCTCCACTGCACACGTGGAGTCTTCTGCACATGCCCACGTGTATATCCACGCCTCCCTGTGTGTCAGCTGGGCAGGCTCCTTTATCCTTAGTGTGCCCTGCAATACCCTCGGCAGTTCTGTGATTACCTGCAGTGCCTAGCAGCATCATGATTCGCTGTTTCCCCAGCACGATGCTTCTCCTCAACTGAACTGGATGTACAACTCTGAGTATGGTACAGTGCTGGCAGTGCGCTGTGGCAGGACAAAGACGAGAGCCTCAGGGTTGGGCATCCTCTTTCCGCTCTCTGGGGCTCAGGAAGCCCTGACCACAGCCCATTCTCCAGGCTCCCGAAGCATGGTTCTTCCTTTATACTTCCGGGCCCTTCCTGCTCTCTTTCCCTTAGGACTAGAATCTGAAGCCTCTGTGGCTGGATCTTGGCGTCAGAATCTGAGGTGCATTATCCACAGCCCTGGCTGCCTTTGAGGGTTCTTGTATCTCTGGGTCTCCCCCAGGACAGGTCCAAGATCTACCTGGCCTGTTCCACATCAGCCTTGTTTGGGGCCCACAGAACGCGTGGTGTCTCTAAGCTCTATGGCCACTCAGGTCTGTGTCTCTGCCCCTACTGATGGACTCTGAGTCTGGAAGGTTCCTCTGTGATAGCAGCAAGGCTCTCCCAGGCAGGGATGTGAGAGGACAGTCAGGGCATGTTCAGCCTCTTGCCCGTGGCCGGGTGGGACTCCATCCTGTGCCTGGCTGCTGCCATCATCTTCCGTTATGTCACACGGTGTGCTCATCCCTTGTGTGCTCCTGTGGGTCTCAGCACCAGGGATCCAATGCCAGGGGTGGGAGCAGGAGACCCCCCACAGGTCCTGGCTGAGCACAGAATGCTGCAGAGCTCAGTCTGCTCAGGCCTCTCCCAAGCCCCGGCCTCTAGTTGCCCTTTCTCTGAAAGTTTGAAGAAGCTGACTCTAGCACACATTTGGCCACTTTGCTAATGACAGGATTTGAAGGCTGCTTAGATTGAGGATTCATTTCTGCTCAGTGAGGACAATGAGGCTGATGAGGCTTGATGCCCGCCTCCTTCCGCCTTGCACAGCTGTGCGCCAGCCGGCCGGCAGGGCCACAGTGGTCTCTCCCTGCAGTGGATTGCAGCAGGAGCTGCCCCAAAAGTCTGCAGAATTTCACAGAAGTTAAGGCCACTTTGATCCAGCTAAGAGAGAAGCCTGAGGTCTTTAAAGAGGCAGCTATGACTGGGTGTGGCAGATGTTTAATTTTTAGACTAAAAATAATAGGGCACTGAAATAAAAGGCGGACCATTTCTTATTTGAATATCTGAAAGCTTCAAGGTGAAATTGCATCTGTCTGCTGTTGAACTTGAACGTTGTTCACCTGAAAAGTGACATCTGTTATACTGTATATAGAATGAATCTTAAATCTAAGTTCTAACCCATGCCATGTAAAATCCTTTGATCTATGATCAGTATTTAGTAAAGTTTTAGACCAAAGATCCCTCAAAGATGTGCCTGTTAATGGGCATCTGAAATGAACAGATTTTTCAGACAAAGAAGTAAAAGCATCAAATAAATATATGAAAAAAATGTTCAGCATCACAGGTCATTCAAGAGATGCAGATGAAAATAACACTGAGATTCCACCTCACTCCAGAAAGAATGGCTGCTATCAGGACATCAACCAATAACAAATGCTGGCAGGGTTGTGGGGAGATAGAAGCACTTCTTCATTGTTGCTGGGAGTGCAGACCCGTACAACCACTATGGAAATCTATACGGAGATACTTCAAAGAACTAGGATTAGAGGTCCCATTTGACTCAGCCATCCCTCTTCTGGGTATCTTTCCAAAATAATTAAAAGACTCATACCACAGTGATATATGTGCTCCCATGTTTATAGTGGCACAGTATGTAATAGCTAAAACTTGGTAACAACCCAAATGCCCATCAACTAGAGACTGGAAAAAGAAGAATTGGTTTATCTATAAAATGGAGTACTACTCAGCCATAAAGAATGCGAAACTAGAAACATTTATAGCTGAATGGATGCACATTGAGGCCATGGTCTTAAGTGAAATAAATAGGACACATATGTGTAAATACCAAAGAATTTCTCTGGTGTGAAAAACAAAGTGTAAAT